TTTTAATCAGAATAATGTAGAATAAGTATAATTTAAGTCTAGTCTTCGGACTTAGGATAAGATTACAAGCACACATTTTTTTCCTTCACACAATGAATCTAGTATCCAAAGGTTTTTTTAAAAAAAGATTTTTTTCTTGATTTCAGAGAGGAAGGGAGAGGGAGAGATAGAAACATCAATGATGAGAGAGAACCATTGATTGGTTGCCTCCTGCATGCCCCCTACTGGGGACCACGCCCAAAACCCTTGCATATGCACTTGTCCAGAGGCCAAAGCTCTATCCACTGAGCTAAACCAGCCAGGGCTAGTATCCAGAGGTTTAAAGCATCCCTGATTTGTCACATCGCCCTCAATCTCTGAGAAGACACTAGGGGCCTTCAATTGCGTATGTTTACTTCTGTTTCTTTTTAAAAGGGCCCATTTAAAGCAGCTGCCGCCTCAGCGCAGTAGGCAGTGCGTCAGTCCATAATCTGAAGATCCTGAGTTAAAAAGGCCCCATTTAGCAACTTGGCACATGATAAATTTTAGTAATTAGAGATCATTATCAAATTTCTTTAAAAGAGAAGAGCTGTAAGATACCTGTGTCTGTTGATGCCACTTTAAGCGTGTTGAGTAGTATTGAAAGAAAATAAAAATGTATTAGTATCTGGAATATTGTTTTTTTATTTTATTGATTTTTTACAGAGAGGAAGGGAGAGAGATAGAGAGCTAGAAACATCGATGAGAGAGAAACATCGATCAGCTGCCTTCTGCACATCTCCCACTGGGGATGTGCCCGCAACCCAGGTACATGCCCTTGACCGGAATCGAACCTGGGACCCTTCAGTCCGCAGGCCGACGCTCTAGCCACTGAGCCAAACCGGCTTCGGCAGTATCTGGAATATTTAAAAAAAATTTTCTTTGGAAATTTCGGGGACTTGATATGTATATGGCTTAAAACTGGATTGATTAAGATGGTTGTTCAGAGGTGACATCTTCAATCAGTAGCTTCGATCAGACTAGTTGTGTAAATGGAGGTGCGCATCAGTCGGTACTAAAAACAGCAAGAGGCTTATGAGAGATTCAGAATTAGGTTAATTAGAATCAACATCAGCTTTGGAAGCCAGGGCATTTTGCTAAAAGGGTTGTTTTGGAGACATAGTGGACTATAATTGCAAGCTTACCTTGGAGATATTGCATGTTTGGTTCCAGACTACCACAATAGAGTGAATATTTATCAAGTGCGTCAGAAGAATTTTTGGTTTCCCAGTGCACAGAGAATTTATGATTACACTGTAGTCTATTACGTGTGTAGTAGCATTATGTCTAAAAAACACTGTCCATACTTTAATTTAAAAATACTTTAGCCCTGACCAGTTTTTCTTAGTGGTTAGAGCGTCTGCCCACTGACTGAAGGGTTGCAGGTGCAATTCTGGTCGCAGGTTCCCCAGCCCAGGTCGGGTGCGTGTGGGAGGCAACCAATCAATGTTTCTTTCACATCGATGTTTCTTGGTCTCTATCCCTCCCACTCTCTAAAAATCAATGGAAAAAAGATCCTTGGTGAGGATTAACAACAACAAAAACTTCATAGGAGTGCACTTTCCACCAAAGACTGAAGACTGTGTTTCCCCAGCTGGAGCTGAAACACTGAAGATATTTGCCAGAGCAGACTGGCACAGACTGGCGCAGAACAAGGCAGCATGGAATGGACCATGGAGGAGTGGAGCGGCCTAGCTGGGCCCCAGGGGCAGCCTCACATCGGTGCAGCACAACAGCACGGTAGCACTATTGAGGTGTTCCCAGCAGTGCCGTCACAGTGTGCTGTATTACCTTTGAGCTGTTGGCACTAAATAAAGCTTCCTTCTTCACCCCAAATTGGGGATTCCTGTTGGTGTTGAATTGGCGCCAATAACCATTGGTTGATACTATTGACATATAAAAACAAACATTTGTTTTAGATAGATGATAGATATTTATTAAGGAATTACCTCCGGAAATTTTGGAACTGAGGCATTTCAAGATCCGCAGTTAGGTATAAGTTCTAGTCTGAAAGCCAGCAGGTGGGAGATCCAAAATGAGTTGTTTCAGTTGGAATATAACGGCAGGAGAAGACCAAAAAAGGAAATAAAATATGCAAACCATCATCTGGGCCTATTGGAAAATGGCACCAATAGAATATGAAGTGCTGCCACACTTCAATTTGTAAAAAAAACAATGTGAAGTGCAGTAAAGCAAAGCTCAATAAAAAGAGGTCTACTGCCCTAACCAGTTTGGCTCAGTGGATAGGGTGTCAGCCTGCGGACTGAAAGGTCCCAGGATCGAGTCCGGTCAGTGGCATGTAACTGAGAACAGAGTGGAGAAGATAAGCAGGGAATTCAGTGATTATGCTGCTCTTGCTACTGGAGTCTCCCACTGACCCAGATTCCAAAGAATTGAACACCTTCCCAGGCAGTTTCCACTGGCACTTCATGTTCAGTTCCTTTTAAAAAATATATATTTTTATTGATTTCTGAAAGGAAGGGAGAGGGAGAGAGAGAAACATCAATGATGAGAGAGAATCATTGACTGGCTACCTCCTGCTTGCCCTCCCTGGGGATCAAGCCGCAACCCAGGCATGTGCCCTTGATGGGAATCGAACCTGGGACCCTTCAGTCTGCATGCAGGCTGATGCTCTATCCACTGAGTAAAACCAGCCAGGGTAATAAAATATATTTTTTTAAGAAAAGAGGTCTACCTATACTTCTTTCACTTGTGCTAACAGATAAAAGCTGCTGCTTCTGGGACATAGAAGTGCTGTGAACTTAAAATAAATATATTGTGGTCATAAAAAGCCAATCAGTATTTTCACTTCAAAGTGTTGTCTTAAAGAGGAGTTAGAACTTTAGTCAGGGTATCAGATGCCTGGGTTCTGGTTCCAGCTTAGATTCCAAAATGATTAGCGACCTAGGATTAAATTTGTTTCCCAAATCTCAGTTGTTTCCCTCACAAGTCTCAGTTTTTTTCACATAAAATCAAGATATGTAATTTAAAAAATCTGTTTAAGTTGTAACTTCTGCATGGCTGCATCCAGTTCCATTGCTTTAAATACCATGTATTATCCTATATAATAAAGAAGTAATATGCAAATTGACCATCACACCCTTGTACAAGATGGTTGCCCCCATGTCATCACAAGATGGCTGACAGGGGAGGGCAGTTGTGGGTGACCAGGCCAGCAGGGTAGGGCAGTTAGGGGGCAACCGAGCCTTCAGGAGAGGGGGGGCAATTGGGGGAACCAGGCCTACAGGAAGGGCAGTTGGGGGCAATCAGGCAGGCAGGCGAAGGGCTGGGAGCCAGCAATCCTGGATTGTGAGAGGGATGTATGACTGCCGGTTTAGGTCCGATCCCACCGGCAGTTGTACATCCCCAAGGGGTCCCAGATTGGAGAGGGTGCAGGCTGGGCTGAGTGACAGCCCCCCCCCCCCATGCACAAATTTCATGCACCGGGCCTCTAGTACATTCTATAAAATTCTTATGACCCTTACCTCACCGATGTCTATTTCTCCCTTGAATCCCAGGTTCATATACCCTTTTATGAAGACATTATCTCCTCTGGATATCCAGTAAGCACCTGAAACATTACATCACTGAAACAAAACCACTGATTTTCTCTTTTCCCATCAAATTTGCTGCTCTCGCCCTAACCAGTTTGGCTCAGTGGATAAAGTATAAAGCATCGGCCTGCAGACTGAAGGGTCCTGGTTCGATTCCAGTCAAGGGCATGTACCTTGGTTGCAGGCACATCCCCAGTAGGGAGTGTGCAGGAGGCAGCTGATCAATGTTTCTCTCTAATTGATGTTTCTAACTCTATCCCTCTCCCTTCCTCTGTAAAAATCAATAAAATATATTTTTTAAAAAATTTGCTGCTCTCCCACATTTCTCTCCACAAATTAACCACAATCCACAATTCTGTTAAAAACCAGGGCATACCGTTATTTCTCCCTTTACCTCACAGTTTACATCTAATATAACACTTAGTGTCTGGAGAGATGCCTCTGAGATATGTCTAGAACTTGACCATTTCTCAGTATCTCCACTATTTATCACTAGTGTTTTCCTATTTCTTTCAGACTGAAACCCACAAACCTTACCTTCAGCCCAGAAATAATTTACAGTGTCTCTGATACCTTACTCATCCTTGTGTTCATTCTGTCATATATATTTTTTTATATTTTATTGATTTTTTACAGAGAGGGAGGGAGAGAGACAGAGAGTTAGAAACATCGGTGAGAGGGAAACATCAATAAGCTGCCTCCTGCACACTCCCCACTGGGGATGTGCCCGCAACCAAGGTACATGCCCTTGACCGGAATCGAACCTGGGACCTTTCAGTCCGCAGGCCGACATTCCATCCACTGAGCCAAACCGGTTTTGGAGGCTTCTTTGTTTTAATCTGTGATTGGATGGATGCCTGCAGGCATGGAGTATAGAACAACTCAAGTATCTGTGTGCCTCCCACTGGGCAAGTTTTCTCTCAACCTTGACTGCAATTCAGAATCATCTGGGAAACTTGAAAATTCCCAATGCACAGGAAGCACTCTAGACCAATGAAATCAGAACACACACATATGTATTTTTATTTAAGCTTTCAAGCACAGGCAATGTTGAGAACCATTATAATCTTGCGAATGGTGTGTGTGTGTGTGTTAAGTGTGTTTGGCTCTCCCTCCTCTTCTCCATCAAGTTTACTTCTTACTCTTCAATCTCCCCTCAAAGATCATTTCCTCAGGGAACTCTTTTTTTCTGAACCCCTCTCCTATGGTGGGATCTCTTTCTTGTATGACATCTGCTTGTGTTTCTAATAATGTCTATGTCCCCCACGAGATTGTAAACTCCCTAGGATTTAGCACATGCCCGATATAGAACAACATATACTATAAGCGAACGAATGTATAAATGAATGAGAGTGAACGAAGGTGTTTGTAGCATCACTCAGCACAGGGTAAGGCGGACGTCAGTACAAGTCCTAGGACGGCTCCAGGATGCTTTTGGCACCTCGGCGGTCCTTTCAGGAAAGACCTTCTCTGAGTCCGCAAGGGGTCCTCCGAGGCAGTGCCGGCAAAACCCAGACACGGCATCTTCTTTCGGCGCGGCCGGCGCTGTGCGGCCTCCAGCCCACAGGAGGCGCTGTGGAGAGGAAGCCGCTGGCGACGCACCTTTCCCTTCCTGCTGCCGCCGGCGCCAGGACGTCCTGTTTTCGTTGGCGGCGCTCGGATGGCTCCCACTGCTGTGGCTGCTACCGCCGCTTAGTGCTGCTTCTCGCCCGGCGAACGGGGTGTAGCGCGGCCTCTTCCTTTGTCCGGTTCTCCTGCGCGTCGTCCGCGGGGCGCCGCTTTCCCGCGCCGGCAGCAGGGGCTGGGAG